ACAGTATGCTAACACATATATATGGAATCTAAAAAAAAAAAAAAAATGGTCATGAAGAACCTAGAAGCAGGACGGGAATAAAGATGCAGACGTACTAGAGAATGGACTTGAGGACACAGGGAGGGGGAAAGGTAAGCTGGGACAAAGTGAGAGAGTGGCATGGACATATATACACTACCAAATGTAAAATCGATAGCTGGTGGGAAACAGCCGCATAGCACAGGGAGATCAGCTCGGTGCTTTGTGACCACCTAGAGGGGTGAGATAGGGAGGGTGGGAGAGAGGGAGACACAAGAGGGCAGAGATATGGGGATATATGTATATGTATAGCTGATTCACTTTGTTATAAAGCAGAAACTAACACACCACTGTAAAGCAATTATACTCCAATAAAGATGTTAAAAAAATATATATTCACTGTGCCCTGAAGCTATATTTTCAAAAGTATAAAGATTGAAGACACTATTTCACACACAGCAAATAATTTACTTGTGCTATCAGTTATCAAGCAAGATTGCTTCTACCACACTTATATAAACCCTTCATTCAACAAATATTTATTGAGTACATTTTATAAGCTAGGCACTGTGTCATTAGTATTTGAAAACTAAACTTAAATTTCAACTTCCTTATCCCCCCTGCCAAAAAGGCAGTATAAAGTCCATATTTATTCAATATAACCAACTAAGAAGTTCTGCCTCTCAAAGATTACCGTAAGAAAGAAAATACACTAGTTATAGTACTAGTGCCTAAAGATAAAATAAAGGTAAGTAAATAAAATAAACAAAATTTATATTCTTGGTAAAAATATATAAATCTTCTAAAAGAAAGAAACTTAAAAAAGCTCATACTCATACAAATAAATTATTGTCCAAACACATTTCTTTCTGTCTTTTCCTTCTTTCCCTGCCTTAAACAAAATTAAAATGTACTGAATGACAAACTATGTATCAGACATAGTTATTAAGCCCAGATGATTATCAAGTTGAATTTAAAAAAAACAAGATGACCAAGCGCCTAGCATCATGCCTAGAACGCAGCAAAAGCAGTCCCTCTTCTTCCTTTTCTTTCTGTCCTCAAGAAGCTCACAGTCTCATCTCCAACAAATGTCACGTCTTAGATTTCTCTTTTAAGTGCTACACAATAAAATCCTCTTTGTGATTCAAACTATGTGGGCTAACCAAACAGCAACTAAATATGTAAAATGTTTCAATAATTATAATTCCATAATCTATATAAACACTTCTCTTTTTTTTTAAGGCAAACAATTCCCAAGTATCCTATTCTTCCTATAGTGCAGTTTAAAGTTTACAGGGCCACTAATCTTTTGGATTACACAACTGTGATATACAACTTGAAGAGTTATTATATTCAGTAAGTGGTCTGGGGATAACAGACACTAATGTAATCGATAAATATATAAGGAATGGCTGGAGAAGAATATGTTTGCTTCATGATTACCAAATGGATTAAGGCTAGAATGAGAGAATGATGCTTAAAAATATGTAGTGAATAAAACTTTACAAATAAGTTAGAAAATAGTTTTGTGCCTATAAATGAACATATCACCCCAACTAATCAATACCATCATATCTAGCCAAAAGCAAAACAGCAAATAAAGAAAATGCACCCACAACATAAGTGATGTTCATAAAAAGAATGAATAATGAAGATTTTTATGTTCATTTTACATACTGGCAACAATTACCTGAATAATATTACATAATAAAATTATACTTCACAAAGAGATGTTATATTGATAATGATAAATCATAAAAAATTCTAAACATACAGTATCAGACTGGAGAGGAAAAAAATTTGCAACTCAAAATTTAAAAAATTACATTATTTACATACTTACCTGCACAGCAAGAGAAGCTGCATTGTCAGAAAGCAAAATTTGCTCCCCTGTGGAAATACAATGAAAGGTCTGAGTCAAAAGCATAACTGCTAAACAAGTAAAATACATTTATAAGTGTTTTTATTTTTAAAAACTATTCCTATTTCTAAAAGGAAAATGTAATCATGAAGTTCTATATCAATGCTGTTGTGTCTATATGTCTATATCAATGTGTGATTATAATTTTGATTAAATTATCATAGTATGTAAATAACAATGAAACAAAACTATTTACTCAGAAACTATTTGATCACTTATTGTATTTTATCAACAATTTCCTCTAAAACTAATTGATCACTTACTGTATTTTATCAACAATATATAATGAAAATCGCTCACTTAAAAACAAATTCGTTTTCCAAGTTTTCAAGAAACTCCTTTTCATTAAAATTAAGTAAAATAGTATCTCTACTCAAACCTCTCTAGTTAAAAGTAAAAGCATTCAAAATCATATAAAACCAGCTTACAGTTAATATTACACAGTGTGTCTAGATCTGTCACACAAAAGAAAGATGACAAGTTCGCTGCAATAAAAATTCCATGCTTAGAAGACTAGGGCTGCTGCCTATTAGTCTTCATTACTTTGCAGTCTTCTGACAACTGTAGCAGGCTGCTGAGCCCCAAATGGGGTCCATAATGTGACCTGATGATATATGAAGAGCTGCTAAAGGGAGCCTGAACCATCCTAGCCTATACATTTTAACAGTTCCTTTTTACTGAGAGCCCACTTTACCACAGGACTTCAAAAATCTGCTGTGTCAGCTATTGGCACAGTAAATCTGCCAACTGCTCCTGCAACTACATCATTTTACACTGCCTACAGCAGCCAATATAATGAGTCAATAATAAACTAAGGACCTTATAGGCCATGAATAGTTGGTTTACACTGGCAGATATAAATTTAGGTAAAATCTCCTAGACAAATTATACAAGGGAATCCCTTCTTTATATTTTATGTTCTCTTTGCGAAGGGTTATATTATTGAAGGGTGTTTTTGGTAATAAATATATTTTGATACAAAGCCATTTTTAACTGAGAACAAGTACCTACCTTTCAGCTGCTGATATAATGTAGCATTTTCAGGCCAAGGTTCTGCAGCTGTGGAAACACAGCAGTGATAATTAGGCACATAGGGTAAAAACATATCAATAACCAACCAAATTAATAATCACATACATTTGCCTAGAGCATTTAAAGTCAATTGCCAAGGATACCTTAAATATGGCAACTAGTCACACTGCTTTAGATTCTATGGGAACCTATATAAGCAGGTTAGATAATTTCTTTTAAGTGAATGTTTGGTGGCAGTTTCATTTTTTATGGGGAGGAGGTGGAAGACATCTTGCCCAATCAAAAGGGAAAATTTAAAAAATAAAACAGCCTAAATGCTACTATTCCTTTAGCCTCCTTCAAACACAGACATATCCAAAATGTTACTCATGCATATAAAAAGATACTGAATTTCAGTTCACTATCAAAAAGAAAAGTAGTGAAGCAATATTTATAATATTTTACTGTAAACTTTTAACAAAGTAAATTTTCAAAAGACAACACTGTATGAAAGAATCAAATACATCTGTATCAGGCTGTGCATCTTTCCTCATAAGCTGGTAGTATTTAAACAGACAGAGGAATCCTGTTGTTCTCTACATTTCATTGCCTTGACCTCACCAATACCATCTCACAGAAACAAAGGGAAGTAACATGATGAAGCAGTTAAGTACCTACAATGTGAAATAGAGCTACTAAAGCTAATTTTAGGCCTGAAGCCAGGCTTGACCTTGACTCAATCTCTCATCCAGAGAAGACTCCAACTACAAAGAGAATATTAGCAACCTACCAGTGCTTGGAAAAAGCACTAGGATTGAATTTGTCTAATCAACTGCACTTAAGAAGCAATGCCTCCACTGACAGAATATACAGTATATCATTTGTTGAATTCTTCTTTACAAAAGCCGTAAAACATCAGAATCACCAATTCTAACATTCTAACTATATTTGCTGTCAGCAAGAAAGTCAAATATGAAATTTGATAATAATTGGTATTTTTCTTACTGTGTTTAAATTAATACAGTCTCTGTGATACAGTAACAAATTATTTTTTAATATATACTTCCAGCTGGTTTTTTAAAAAAGAAATTTATACACATGAAGCATTTTTTTCTTAAGACTGATCATTTCAGGTGCACTAAAACAGTCTTAGGAGTGGGGGGGAGGGGTGGACACCTTAATTTCCTTTTACTTCCACTTTAGAATGAAAAGAAAAACATTGTATCATTATAAATTATAAATTTTGGTTTGGTCTGGGCTACACAAAACTAAATTCATACTTAGGGATAATACATGAAGTCACCAAGCAAATAATGGACCATACACAGTTTTGCACACTGTTATCCACAGTATTACAGACCTCCCTTGACCTACCATGGGTTTACATCCCGATAAGCCCACTGTAAGTTGAAAGTGCATTTAATATACCTCACCTACCAAACATCACAGCCTAGCCTAGCCCACATTAAACGTGCTCAAAACACTTACATTAGCTTACAGTTGGGCAAAATCATCTAACACAAAGCCTGTTTTATAATAAAGTGTTGAATTACAATGAATCTCATGTAATTTATGGAATACTGTACTGAAAGTGAAAAACAGGATGGTTTTATGGGTACAGAATGGTGGTAAGCGTATCAGTTGTTCACCCTTTTGATTTTGTGATTTCGTGGCTGACTGGGAGCTGTGACTCCCTGCTGCTGCCCAGCATCAAGAGTATCTAGTTACATATCGCTAGCCCAAGCAAAGATCAAAATTCACAACTTGAAATACAGCTTCTACTGAATGCGTATTGCTTTTGCTCTATCGTAAAGTCGAAAAATCGTAAGTCAAACCGTTTTAAGTTAGGGACTGTCTGTATACATATATGTAAAGGCTACTGAATTTCAACTCACATACCAAAAAGGCAGTGCAACTAAATATTACTATTTTTTACTTTAAACTTTTTAACAAAGTAAAATTTCAATAAGAACCCAATTAACCTGTGTAACAGTTTTAAAAATAAAAGTCAGGGAAACAAAAACAAGCTGACATCAGCAATTTACTAAAAAATAACCTTTTAGGATAAACTGTATGATCAGCACACCTACACTGTTTACATCTATATAAGAAACAATACAATGAGGTTCATTCATTATAAGAGTCTACATCATCAAAGACTCAATTATATGCATTATATTAATCTTATTAAAGAAAGCAATAAGGCAGAGGAATAAAATTTACAAAAGTTCCAAAGACATTGAAATTAAGTTCCTTGAGGGCACAAATGTGTCATGTGCATCTGTGTATGCCACACTGTGCCATGTTTTGCGTACAGATGGTGATCATTAATTGTGCATGGAAAGAAACCTACCAGTCAATCTCCTAAACATTCTGGCTAATCAAAGTTTTACTGAACTTAATTATCAACTATGTTAAAGTAATAGGGTGCTCTAATTAAATATTCTGGTAATTTTAACTTTTGGTTAGCTATTTTGTGTGCATATTAGACATGAATTACAAATTTTCAAAACAATGGAAAAACATACATTTAGCATTAAATATATGCTGAATATAATTTAAGTGTTCTTTGATAAATCAGAAGCTACATCACTACTCTGCAGTATCAGAGTTCTCATATGAATAGGAACCTCTGTGTTCAGTAATTCCAGTTAAAAGTTCATTTATCATCACCCACTTTCTCCTGATGTAATACAACCGACATATGTAAAAGTAACAGAAATCTTGCAACATATTACCTGACTGCAAATAAGAACAAAGGAGTTATCTACAAATACTAAAAGCTCTGTTATTAAGAACCTAAAGCTGGAAATGGGGATGACGGAGTATATTTTCCTTGCTCCAATACACAAACTATGTTCCACCTCAGGAATTATTATTGAAAGTAAATTCTCAGAAAGTAACTCTGCCAAAACATTTGATGTTATCTTCACAAACAGAACCTATCATTTAGAAAGAGAAGGCAAGTAGGCTGATATAAACCTATATAACCATGCTATTTTAGCAGCTTGGAATTCCAGTGTATCCATAGTCCAGGAGGCAAGAAATAGCAGAGTATGCAGGGAATGATCAGGGAATGAATGACATGGGAGAAGAAATGGCTGGTGTGTTATTCAACAGAGAGACAATAGTGAAAATACTAAGTTGTGTGGCATGGCAATGGATCTACAAATCAACCATGTAGGTTTCTTTCTAGGAAATGAGCTTTCATAAGTAAGTCCATGAATCATGAACATTATCAACACATAACAAAGTACAAAGCCTATTTCTTGGTTTGGGTAATATTAATTAAAACCTTTTCATTGAGAATGCCTGTTATGTGAAAGACAAAGTCCAAAAATACAATTTCTTCCCCACTCCTCTTTCCCAAGGTTAGGGAAGTTGATATCCACCCTTGTCCCTGATCATGTGTAAAAGAGAGGGAGATTAAGAATTCAAAATAATAGTACTGACAACAGACCTTAAAAATCTGCCTCATTTAAAAAGAAAAATCTTTAAAAATAAATAATAAAACATTTTCATCTCTTACTAGTTTTACTTTAGCCAACCTAAAATATTTTAGACCACAGACTAATTCAACAGTGAATAAAATTTCATGACTCACCTATCCTATTTTCAATTTCTACCACCAAAATCTCTCCCTGATGTGAAGAGCCTTTTTAAACCTGCCTTAGGGAAGGGCCAGGCTTAGAATAAATATAGAAGGTGAGGATAAATGTTTCTGAAAAGGAGACTGATAGAAAATGAGGATTGAGAGACAACGTTGTCCAACACCATCAAGGTGCCAATTACTGGTATTATTTGCATATCAAAAGTAATTTTTATGCTTCATACACATCAGTAGTTTGTGTGGCTCTTGGAATAAAGATCGACTTGGCCTTACACATCACCCTCTCTCCCTCTCTGGCCTCATCATTCCTCTCCACCCACTCTATACACCAGCCACAATGGCCTTCACCCAGTTTCTGAATGCATCACGTTCCTTCCTGCCCCAGAGATTCATTTAAGCTGTTTCCTCTACCCTGGAGCTATCTTCCCCTCCTTTTGTGTCCCTACATGTTAGCAAAAACATCACTTCCTCAGGTTGGTCCAGCTTCATGGACTTACAACCTGAACAGCTGCACAGAGCCCGTACTTAGAAGAGCTCCACGGGTGCTTTTATGTTCTGCTGTGCCAGTCTTGAGGCCCCTGTTCTTTTAAACAGGGGCCTCATATTTTCATTTTGCACTGGGCCCTACAAATTATGTAGCTGGTCCTGTCCTCAGGGAAGACTTCAGTGACCTCCGGAATAGTTCAAACCCTGTTTCAAGCTTGAATAAGATGCACACTTCTTTGAGCCACTTATCACAGTCAACATTTTTACAGGGATTTGAGGACTACTTGTTTACCTCCCCCACTAGAAAATAAGCACATGAATCCAGTGTTCATGTCTGATTTTTGCTTACCACTTAATTCCTAGAACCTAGCACCAAACAAGCAATCAGTAAATGCTGGTTGAATAAATGTTTGTGTTTACTATTACTACTATCATTATTATGATTCTGTACTGTTTAGGCTAAGAATGAATCAGGGAAAATAAGAAAACTACACAACCTGGCCAAAAAAAGGGAAACTTTTACCCAGAGAACTCCAATACTACAACCAATAGCACAACTATAAAAATATTAAACAGCTGCCTGAAATAGTTGGCAGAATCTAATCCTGTAAACTTACCTATGCACTGACCCTAAAACTGGAAATCTGTTTCTATGTTTTATACCAAATATACAATTTTCACTGGATATTACTGTTGAAATGCTCCTAAGACCAACACAAGGCCCTCAACCATCTGACAAGTCATCTATTCCCCTTTCCATGTTCTTTAACTCTAACATATCACTTTTTAAAATCTCATGTCCCCATCAATAAAATACTTGAGGGGGCTTCTCCGATGGCGCAATGTTTGGGAATCCGCCTGCCGATGCAGGGGACACGGGTTCAAGCCCTGGTCGGGGCGGATCCCACATGCTGCAGAGCAGCTGGGCCCGTGTGCCACAGCTGCTGAGCCT